TCTCACAAAGGGTGTTTGAGTCCCTTTTCTTGCGAGACTATCTGCAATCCTGTTACCTTTTACTCCGTTATGCCTCGGGACCCAAGTGAGAGTAACTGTACTTTCTCCTAGCTCTTTCAGTTTTTCTAGGCATCTCCAGAGTATGTTTTGAACTGATTACGTAAGAGCTCAGCGCTTTGATGGCTGCTTGGCCATCGGACATGATAATAATATCTTGTCTACGATAGTTTATCTCGATGTTGAACTGGATACACTTCTCAATGGCGAGACTTTCCGCCTGGAAGATACTTGGGTATTTACACAAACTTTCTAGGCACATACACTCCTATTCCAGTTCTTTCTGTGGTTCTTGGCTCCATACTTTCTGTAGCTCAGCTCTGTGGTTTTGAAGTTTTTCACAAACCTGTACCTCTTCCTCATTTCGTCCTGAGGCATATCCCAAGTATGAAGCTAATAGACTTTCGTTTGATTACTTCGTTCCTGACCATTCTATATATTTTTTTTTCTTGTAGTTCTTGGGTTTTTAGGTGCTTGTGGGAAATGAAACTCGTATATGAATGGGTAAAGCTTTCGGCACTGATCAGTGCCTTCTTCAGTAGTTTTTACTCATACATACACGAGTTTCATTTCCCAATAGCACCTAAAAACACAACAACTGCAAGAAAAAAATATAAATAAAGGTGTAAGAAAAAAATTAGAAAAGAAAGCGGATACTTCCTTTTTTAAAGTACCAATATTCTATATATTGTCCTTTTTGCCATAATCTCTATCATTAATTAGAGGGGTAGGACATCTGTTCTCAGTGCACCAGTGATGCAAACACAGGCGGGTATTTGTAGTTTTGAGATATTAGCTCTAAAAGTAGCTAAACTAGTTCTGTTATTTCAGGCTAAAGCCCCCTCACTATTATTGTTATATACATCCATCACAATGTGTTCGAGTTACATCCAAACCTTTTATTCGCAATGTTTTTGCATGCCATTAGGGCTTTTGTTGCCTTATTTACTACTTCCTTCTCATGTATGTTCCAGAGAAGTTTGTTGTCCAGGGTTAGGCCCAGATATTTGACTTCTATTTTTCATTTCATATCTATCCCGTCTAATTTGACAGTTTTAAGATTGATATTTCTTTACCTGAAAAGGCTACTAGTGTTGTTTTGGTAGGCATTTTCTTAAAGTCGACTGTCTCAGGTACTATTTCTGTTGGATACTTGAAATTTTAGCCAGAAGTAGTAGATGGGATGTACTTTTAAAAACATTTACAGTTTTCTGCAACAAAATATGTCGTTTAAAAAGTTTAAATTTTTTTAATGATAAGGTATATACTAACTAAAAACAATTTTTATTAAAAGCACATGGTTTAAAAAAATCATTTTATCAAATGTTCAAAATGCACCCCGTTAGCTTCTAAACATTTTAACAATCTTTTTTCAACATGATTAGTTGTTGCTTTACGACTCATTTCACCATCTAACTCATTAAAGGCATTCCGAACTCTTTGCTCTAATTCTTCTTTAGTATTAATTTGGGTAGAGTACACTAAATTTTTAATATGACCCCATAAAAGAAAATCAACAGGAGTTAGATCTGGCGATCTTGCAGGCCAAAGCCAAGGACCATTTGGACCTATCCATCGGTCTTCAAAGAGTGCTGTAATTTCTTGATTTACATAGTATGTTGAATGTGCTAGGGCACCATCCAACTGGTAACAAAAATTATTATTTGGTAGCTGGTTTAAAATGTCGGCAACTACTTCTCTAAGAATTCTAATGTATCTTTCGGAGGTCAGTCTTTCATTATAAATGTAATAAAAAGCTCTTCCAAAACCGATCACTGCAAACACATTAAAACTAAATTCGTACTGAAATTGTGCTTCACGATAAAAATGTGGATTTTCGTTTGCCCAGAAATGACATTGCTTGCGATTGATGATCCCTTTACGTGTAAATTTCGACTCGTCTGACCACAAAATTTTATTTAAAATCTCGGGATCTTCTTGAATTCGTACCAATAACCATTCGCATAATTCAGTTCGTCTTATTTGATCACCATCTCGCAACTCATGAACTTTTCTTTGTGCATAGGGATGCCATTTATTTAGTGCTAAAATTCGTTGTATTGACCCTCGACTAATATTTAAATTATCTTGAGCCATTCTAATGGAGGCGTGAGGATACGCAGTAAAATACCCTAATACGTTAATTAGATTAACTTCTTCATCTCGGACATAATGTTGACGGTTTCTTCCCGGGTTTTGTTTAAATTTATTCAAAAAGTTAGCTTCGATTCTATCAAATTTCTGTCTGTTCATTGGTGGTAAATGAGGGTATCGTTCATTAAACATGCGGCAGGTTCTACTTTTGATTCGATTACATTCTCCATGAATGTAAAATAAATTAAGAATATCTTGGTTGGTATATTCTTCAATATTTTCCATATTTTGAACGCAAAAAATACACAACTTAAATACATAGAAATATGACAATTCAGTTTGTTGACAGATTGTTGTTTAGCATATTTCCACGGCATACTAAGATAAAAAATTAAAATGTAAAACTATACTATATTATGTAGGTGCATGCGTAAAATTTAAATTTAAATTTTCTTAAAATTGGCGAGAGATAATTATAGGGAATTAATAGTGCAAATGAAGATCAATGAAGAATAATTTTCTGAACAAAATGAAATAAAAATATACAGGATTTTCCATTTAAAATAAAAAAAAATTTCATGTTTAAAATATTTATTTTTTAAAATAATTTCCAAACACACAGTCGAACAAACGATGTACAAGTAAATTTAAAAAAGCAAATGTCTGCCGGCATATAAAAGTTTATAAAAAACTGAATAACGCCAAATACACTATAATTAGAATAGGCGAATGGGGTATCATTGTTTACAGAATTTCATGCTGAATCTAAAATTTAAAATAAAAAAGTTTTTTATGTTTAAAAAATTTCATTTTTAAAAATAATTTGCAAACACCCCGTACAACAAATAATGAATAACTAAATATTCTCAAAAAGTACATCCCATCTACTACCTCTGGTTAAAATTTTAAGTATCTGATAGATATAGTACATGAGATAGACGACTTTAAGAAAATTTCTACCGGCGACTAAAAATGTAGAAAAAAATTGAATAACGCCAAATCCGCTATAACTAGAATAGGCAAATGGGGTATCGTTGTTTACAGAATTTCATGCTGAATCTAAAATTAAAAAAAAAATATGGGGTATTCCCTTTAAAATAACGAAGTTAGTGGTCACTTCCGGTATAACCGGAAGTTGCACAGAGTTCATTTTATTTTAATTCAAAAGAGCATATTCGATTATGTATACTCAGAAAATGGCGAAAATACAAATTAATTTATTCTCCATAAAGTTGTAATGCCCGCCTTATGGGACACGGTGTATTATTACAATATAATGGCTTACGTTAAGTTATTATTAAATAAATTTCCATATAAAAAGAAATAATATTTTAGGTCTTAAAAGTTTTAATTTTATTAGTACTCGACATCTTATAAGTAGTTAAGGACGCTTTGTAAGTGATAAGACATATTTTAGATTGTCCTTTAAACCATGGTAGAGTCTCTTCTCTCTTTGATGAGTATGCTGGACAGTCAATTAGTATGTGTTTAACAGTGACAGTATCACAGAACTCACATACTGGATGGAGGAACTTCGAAAACTATTAGGTATCTATAGGTAAGGAGAGTATATCCTATTAGTAATCGTCGGATAGTAGTTTTCTTTTTTCGAGACAGATCGGATTTATAGAGATCTAAATTTTCCTTAGGTTAGGGTAACTTCCTTCCTAATGATTTTTCTGTGTGACGTATAGAACGTTTGAAGTATGCTTTGAGATCTTTATTGATTTCGATTATTTCATCAGTGAAACCGGGGGCGGATGTTTATTTTGCCAGGACATCAGTTCTTTCATTTCCCTGGATATCAATATGAGAGTATTAGGTAGATTAATATCTAAGTGGTGTAAGAAATTGGGTATAGTTTGAGTTATCAAAGTAGGTCTGAGATTAGGACTGAGCTGGATTTTGAGAATTAGCAGAAATTCTGGAAAAATAGAATAAAAGTAATTGTCTCCTTTACAAAAACCATGTCTGCATATCTTTCATTAGAAAATTATCGACAAGGCATTTTAACTAACGACAAATAAAAACAAATAAATCAGTAACAACAATAAAAATAAAGATCGGTGAATGTTACATCTCTGGTCACCTTAATCTAAGCTTGATACGCGTGATAAACACGAATGGTTCTGAATTAAATCCAAACTGAACTTAAAAAGTTATAGCTCCGACATTCGCGAATTTTTCCAAGGCCTACATTAGAAAAAAAATTGTGGAATACTCTTTATACAACAGAATATCCCAATGGCCACAAAGAAGTGATTACAGAATTGCTAACTACCGTGAAAGAGTGTCAGAGCACCCTAGATAGTAACCAGTGAATTATCTGTGCGGAACATCAATGTAAGATGCCTTAAAAATATACATTTTATTATTGTCAAATAAAAAGCTTATTATTGTCAAATAAGAAGATATTTTGCCTCCAAACAGATTGTTTTATAAATAAATGAAGCTATAAATAATATATGCAAATAAATTTTAACAATGCTCCGGTTATGACTTATTTGTACTTGTCTAGCTAATTGGAATATCTTACATATTTACATCTGTGTCCGATTGCGGTTTTAGTTTATGTGCAAAAAATATTATTTTATTCGTGTACGGGATGTCCCATTATTTAATGTGACCCGTTGATAAAAAAAACTATCCACATTATTAAAAATAATGTCTTTTGAAGAATTTAAATGTTGATCACCTTTTACAATTCAACTAGATGACTCTAAAAATCCAAAAGATTATCGCTGTTTAAACTATTTTCGTAATTTTAAGATGACAGAATAATTATTGTAATATTGACTTGGTTTCTTAAACTATATTTATATTTATTAATTTTATTTATTTTGTTTCAGGTCATTCCTTGTTAATAATAGCCATCTCAGCGGTAGTTTGTATTATAACCACCTTGTCACTGTCAGCTATTTGTACAAACGGAGAAGTAAAAGGAGGTAAGTACATTACAATTATTGTAGAAAGTGCACATACTTTATCAAATTACCAATTAAAAAAAAATATTAGAAAGAAAATTTAACCACATCACTGAAATAAATAAGAAACATATTGGTCCCAATAAAACCCCGCATCGAATAGGATTTAGCAGCGACACCGGATTTATTAAAGGATACCTTTTGAAAAGTAGGAATCGTTCCAGTTCAGTGCTACTCCTAAGAAATCATACTTTTAAAGCTAACTAAGCAATGGTTTTCGAATTATTGTTTTACATAATATTGTTAAAAAAGTTTAAATAATTTATTTGAACCCAAATATGTTGTGACTCGACGATGGCTGATTCGATAATAATAATAATCTTTTATTACTAAAACAAGGCGCAAAATGCTGCTACTAGATGGTTCTTAAGTAATGTTTAAAATTTCATATTGACTGTTATCGAATGACTTTACAAGATTCGGTTGTTACCAACTTTAAAATTATTTACGCACTTTCTCTCTTTAACTTTAAACAATCTTATGAGCAGGACAAGATAGGAATTTCAATTTTTCAATATATGAGCTTAATTTCTTTGAAAGTTACTTTTAAAATAACTTAAAATTATAAAGTAGGATAAAGTATTTTAGAGAAGGATAGAACAACACTACAAATCGTGTGCACACCTATGCATAAGTATCGAATGTATTTCATTTTTAGATGTGATGTAATTGTCTCGAAAAACCGACGCATACTACACCAGGACCGGACTAAGATATACATTTTATTACAAATTATGAGATAATTTAATTTAATTTTGGTTTTGTACAGTGTATGTTGCTTTTACAAGTGTACGGTACACTCTGTATCTGTGTACTGGGGAGGGCAAGTCTCACCACAGCACTTAAGCCTCACTAGACTCATTGTGCAGCCTCCTGAATCGATGAAGTCACTCTTAGCTCTTTAGCCGGCCTACAGATTTAATATATATATAGTTGACGTCGTAAACTGTCATATTAACCGGTAAAGTATTTGTTTGCCACCATTCCTTAAATTTCAGATGGAAATGGACTTTAATTAGATTTGTTCTGACCGTTGTTAGTACAGTGGATAGGCCAGGTCCAAAAAGTATGCTGTCTTCTTGGCTAGTGACTGGGCAAGACGGTTACCTTTTGATGTGGCGGCACTTTTGATCCACCTTAAGGTGACCACATTGTTGGTCTTGGTGATATTGTAGTACTAACCCTGAGTAAAATTATGGTTTGTCCTGAATGAGTAGTGCTTGTTTGTTATCTTTATAGATGCGTATGTTCCTTCCTTCCTATAATTATCCCTGTTAGCTTAGTTTAGTTAGCTCATTTATTGTAAAGGTTTAAGGCTTTGGAGTATATTTCACTTCATGAGCTTTTTGGTTTTAAAACCGTCAGTATGGCACTTTTGGCTCTTCTACAGTTTTCGTCACATCTTTAAAGTGAAAGCTTGTCGAGCGCCTCTTACGTATCTAACATCAGCTTATTGGGTCTATTCTGTAACTATGGTTGTTATCTGGCAACTTTCTAACAACTTGCTATCTTACCACTTTTATAGCAACTGTATAACAACTTTGAAAAAGGTAGCTATTCTAGTATTCACGGTTGCTATATTAGTCTATGCTGGTATCATATAGTTGCTATCGAGCAAGTTGCTTTGACCAAGGTCAGTTGTTGTATTACCAGTTTGAGAAAATCAGAATTCTCTGAGTAAAATATGTAACAACTAGTGGTTACAAAAGTGGATTCTGAGTTATTAGGAAGCAACCAAATATTCTTGATGGTTAAGCGAAACAACTAGTGGCTAAGAAAGAAATATTATGGACCCATGATAATATATATTTTAATAGACCAAGAAATGAATGGAAGATATGTTTATTGATATGATAATAGATATCAGAACTAAATAGGTATATTATTTATTTAACCGTGAATACTAGAATATTTACTTTTGTCAAAGTTGTTATAGGGTTGCTTTAAAAATAATAAAACTTGTATATGTGGTGTAGATCAGGCTTTTAACAACATAACCTTTGAATTGGAAGAGCAGGGACATCAAGTAAAGTGTAATTTTATCATTTGGAATGTTTTGTAGGTGGACTGGCTTGAAATTAAAAAAAAAATACGTAATTCTAAAATTTTACCTACACAGCAAAATGTATTATGCAATTTTATCATCTCAAGCAGATCTGCAGGCCTTTTGACGATCTGAGAGGTAGTCCGTAGACATCTCACGGTGACAGCATATTTTAGGCAAGCTAAAATAAGGCTCCTGCTCCAGCCTCTGGAGGATGCATAATGAAGGTATTGCAGCATATGTAATGTGAACCCACCTTACAGATACAGATTACAGTCAAGAAATAGTAGCCTTTGCTGGAGTCTTATTTTATTGGTGAAAGAAATCCTTAGAAAAAAATTATGTACCTATTAAGTTCTGATAAGTTCCTATTATCTTATCAATACACATACCTCCTATTAATTTCTTGGTATATTTAAATATTTGGTATCCAACGCTCCATATTTCTTTCCCAGCAACTGTTGTTACGCTTAACCACCAGGAATATTTGGTTGTTTCCAAGTCACTCGGAATCCACTTTTATAACCACTAGTTGTTGCAGATTTTACTTAGACAATTCTGATTTTTTCAAAGTGGTAACATAACGACTGACCTTAGTCTAAGCCACTTGCTAGATAGCAACTGCATGATACAGAATAGACTACAATATTCCAACCATAGGGAGTCGCGGGGCTGCATTATTGATGATTTAAAGCAGCCTCAATGATGTAAATATCAAAGGAAGTGAGACTAAGAAGGATTTTGATAGCTCGTTGGAGAGGTTTTCATGACTCCTGTTATGTTGAGATATGCCTGTTCTTTGTAACTGTTCTATTTTGCGGATAATTGTCAATTGTTAGGTTTTTGGTATCCAGCACCGTATGCTAGCATAGTATTATGATGGCGTATCATGGTGTAATCCATAAGACTGGGTGAGAAACCCCACATTTTGGCAACATATGATTCTTGATTCTGTTTTCTAGGTAAGAGTTTCATGTTAACTTCCTGTCAAACATGAGACCTAGGTACTTCACCTCTGTTGCAAAGTATAGTTTTGAGTTAACAAGCTTTGTAGGTTTTAGTTCCATTTTTCCTGTAAAAATGACCATTTCTGTCTTCTTGGAATTGAAAGAAAGAGAGTAAATGGTTCTTACATCACTGTTCTATAAATTTAAGGGCTACTTGTATTCTTCCGCACAACATATTCTCAAAATACCCTGCTTGCAGAATGACTAAGTCATCTGCGTATACTAATGTGTTTAGTGTCATTATTACGTCGGATTTCCGAATTTGTAATTTTTTAACCAATATTATTTATATTTCAGGTGGTATATATTATTTCATTTCCCGATCGTTGGGACCTGAATTTGGTGCTTCAGTAGGAGTGGTATTCGCGTTTGCGAACGCAGTATCTGCTTCTATGAACACTATAGGTTTCTGCAATTCTCTTAGCGATCTCCTTCGTAATTACGACCTCCGCATCATCGACGGCGATGTCCAAGATACCAGAATAGTAGGTATGTAAAGAAATTACATTTTAAAGAATCTGTTATATTTAACTGTTTAGGTCATTTTTCTAGGAACTGCTGCTACCGTAGTGATGATACTCATTTGTGCCATAGGAATGGAGTGGGAATCGAAAGCCCAAAACTTTTTGATAGCGGCTATTGTAGGCGCTATGATTGATTTTATAGTCGGTACTATTATTGGACCAACTTCTGACATACAAAGGGCTAAAGGTTTCGTGGGATTTAACAGTAAGTGACAATTTTTTCTTAATTTTTTTTACTATTATTTATTGTACAAGAATTTGCCAAAAATTTAAAAGAAATCCTGGAAATAGTTTATATAGTCAAATTGCCAAAAGTGAGTTAAGAAAAAATAACCAGACATTAACCTCATTCAGGCGCTTGCAGCCGTAAAAAAAATATATCAAATCTTTTATTACTCTGTTAGAACACTTTTTATCGCTGCTGTTTTCGTATCAGAACGGTGGATTATTTTTTATTGTTAAAGTACGGAGTTATAAGCTTTGAAAAAAAAATTGCCTTAAAATTTCTACTTAATTTTGATCTCTGTCCCTGTTTTCATTAAACCGGTAAATAAATTATGTTTTGTTGTTATTGATAAATGTCAAACTTATAAATAACTGAACACAAACTGTCAGAAAAGATGATATCCGAAAGAGTACCTATAGCGTATCTATAGATTAGTTAGACGGTTGCCCAAATGTAAAATTGTTAATTTGTTCAAAGATGGAAATGTCCAAGCAACAATTTATAAGACAATAGATTGCGAAGAGGGTATACTAATTTGCCCAAGACTGGAATACCTCATATTTTGGCACAAAACAGGGGCAAGAGACTGGTACAAACCATTCAAGACACGATTGGAATCTCTAGTTGGAGCTTGGATATCGTTTTGGGGTCTCATACGAGACCTTCCAATAGATTTTGTCCAAAATGGTGTAAAGTATCGAAAAAGTATAAAAAATATCCCAGATATACCCAGGCACAGCTCGTAAGAGTACCTAGATGTAGAGATCTGAGGCGAAGGCATTTTGTAATAAATCGTGTGATTAATGATTGACAAGAAATATTTAACTACGTCACTTTCTGAAATAAAAGGTAACGATGAATTTTACGGCTCTATGACAAAACAACGCAGGACAAAATAGCGCAGACAAAATAAAGCAGTACAAAATAGCGCAAAACAAAATAGCGCATGGACAAAATAGGACAGGACCAAATAGCACAAGGGCGAAATAGCGCGAGGACAAAATAGCGCAGGACAAAATGGCTCAAGGACAAAATAACGCATAATGAACAAGATGTTCTTTAATTATTAATGAAATTCATTGAAATTATGCGTGACAAATACTGTTTCGATGACAAATCTGCTGCGACAAATTTACGTCAAGGCAAATACATGAGAGACAAGTTAGTGTCTGATATAAATAAAGTGAGACCAATTACTGTCTAGTCTAATTATAGTGAGTTAAGGTAGCGCTTTTACAAATAAGACTAAAACAAACAAACGCGTGACAAAATATGCTGTTTATGGCTCCAGGCCGCACAGGTTAGTTAAATTAGTTTCTTCCCATTTTTCTTATATGTTAATTTTTTGTTCAAAGCAACCTGCGATGTGTTTAGGCTGCCCAGATTGGGTAAATTAGTTAAGGTTTTTTAAAAACTTGCGCAATTTTGTCCTGCGCTATTTTGTTCTGCGATATTTTGTCCTTGCACTATTTTGTCTTGCCATCTTTTGTCCGTGTGCTATTTTGTCTGCGCTATTTTGTCCTACGCCATTTTCTCCTGCGCGATTTTGTCATGGAGCCGAATTTTACAACTTTGATATTGTCCAAACGAAGTAGAAATCAAAGCAGTTTTAATCTGGTACGCGACTTCTGAGATAGGGATTGCAACCCCCTATTTTGACCGAGTTCGGGAAGAAGCTACAGGTATTTGTCAAAAAAATCGAGAAATGGAAACGAACATTGCCCAAAGTAAATCAGATAAGTCTTAAACAAATTGAATACCATTAATGACCATGGCCTGCTATCTGTTATGTAGTTTCATTTTCACGTGGACAAAAGGTGTATAGCAGAAGCAGAAGTTGGAAAGGCTTTTGGTAGGTAGATAGGGGGTAAACGTCAAATCACGACGGACGACTTCTAGAATTTCGAGGTATTATTTATCTGCCAGTGATTTCATAGAATAAGTAATTTTAAATTGTTACCGGCGGACTATTTACAGATTAGAAACAATTATTATAATATCCCAAAAACATAATTCTATAAAATTTGAATACATTTATTTCATTATTTTGCTGATTTATACTGTTCTCTTTTTAAAACTTAGGTCCCACACGTTATTAATGGTTATTTAATGAACGAGTGTATTAATAAGGGCGATTAACAATCGAGGTAATTTAACGCGCGAGCAGAGCGAGCGCATTAATTGCGTTTTAATTCACGAGTTCATTACAGAACTTTTCCGTCGACCGTACTTTTCAAAAATAAAGATAGTTTTTGAATTTTAAGAAATTAAATAATGACATACAACAACAGATATTATTAACACACCTTCTTGATTTCAAATGTATATGTATGTTTGGTTGCCTACACCATAGGTAACTGACCATATAAAAGAATAATAAGAGCAATGTATGTTGGGTTGCATATAATAAAATCGTTGAGTAATAGAAAATCATTCATTGATAGGGGTCATTCTTAGATAAAAGCACATACTTTGATTTTCTTTTACTATACGGAGAATGGTCGCCCTGCGCAGCTTTCTGAGTGCCTTTTAAAAGGAGATAGAAAACTCCGCCATTTTGAACCCTTATTAAGTGTTGCCTACATCTTGGCGCAATATTTTTAATGGGTGCGTTTTAATCGTCCGCTTCTGCTTCGGAATTGTCGGTTTTCTTGTTTTAATCTGACAGATTAAAACGACTAAACCGACAATTCCGGAAGCAGAAGCGGATGATTAAAACGCACCTGATATTTTGCTTGCTGCTGTCAGTGTCAGTGAATATTATTTTTGAAGTCACAGTTTATTGCTAAAGAATCAGTTAGCTCACTCGGACCAGTTGAAAGTTCCAAAATAACATCCACTCCAGGGATACAAATTCAGGATACGCAGAAGAATGCTGTTTTATTATAGGCGGTTGTCATATATTGTATTTTCCGAGTTGAACAGTGTATAAACTGAAACATTGAGATCCAAAGTGCCGGCGTAGAGTGAGCGATCTGATTCTTTAGCAGTAAACTGTGTCACAGGGTTCAAAATGGCCGCGCCCTATGTTGGGCGTGTCGGACCTCTCTCTTGCCTCGTATACTATTCAAAGTATGTGATTAAAACGCACCTGATATTTTGCTTGCTGCTGTCAGTGTCAGTGAATATTATTTTTGAAGTCACAGTTTATTGCTAAAGAATCAGTTAGCTCACTCGGACCAGTTGAAAGTTCCAAAATACCATCCACTCCAGGGATACAAATTCAGTATACGCAGAAGACTGCTGTTTTATTATAGGCGGTTGTCATATATTGTATTATCTGAGTTGCGCAGTGTATAAACTGGAACATTGAGTTAAAAAGTGCCGACGCAGAGTGAGCGATCTGATTCTTTAGCTATAAACTGTGTCATAGGGTTCAAAATGGCCGCGCCCTATGTTGGGCGTGTCGGACCTCTCTCTTGCCCCGTATAGTAATCAAAGTATGTGAATAAAAGAGACCAGAGATATAACATACACCGGTATTTAACCTGCGCAAATGTTGCCAATTTCTAAAGAAAGGTTAACGGAGTGGGGGAACTGGGCAGGGACCCGAACTCTGTGACAGGGACCGGACTTTGTTTATTAGCATCATAATGAACTATTAGATTTATTTGAAATATACGTTCAATGGAATTTTGTATTATGAAAAAAATTTAACGTGATTTTTTTAATATCAAACAGATGCCACGACATTTTATGTAAAGAGAAGACCTTTTATAAAATATTTCGTTAGCTATTATTTGCTACGGACTTTTCTGTAAGAGACTACAGTAACATGTTGAAATAGAATATTTGTTAATCGAGTAAGAAATGGTACTCATTGTCTAAGAGTATTATAAAAAAAGCACGTGCGTAGGAGAATACTGCAAATCAAACCTTGTGAGTTGAACATTATATTTTTTCTACGACTTGACATAATATTAAAAATTAGTCAAAATGAGAAAATGCTGTTTTGTATTATAACCTCAGAAATAGATATATTAAAGCTCTTGTTTCTTTAGGAATATTAATTAATATAGAGGATGAGTCACATAAAACTCTACAAATGCATATGTCTGAAACCAGATAACATTTTAAAATTTAAACCTATTAAAAGTCATTTGGTCGCTAGGAGTGGGTGATTATCGAAATAAATTATTGATCATTAATAATAATCGATTATTTTCGATCAATCGATTATTTGAATCTATTTTTGTTCGTATTTCCTTTAAAATCGACTACTTGATTATCTTCGAAAAATCAAAAATAATAAATTAATTAAAAAGCCAATTAACCGATAAATCACTGTTTACAAAAAATAATAAACGAATTATTGTTTATTTTAAATAATCGATTGTTTTTAAATAATGTTATTTTTTTTTCATATTTCCATTGAAACAGATTATTCGATAATCTTTAAAAAATCTAAAAATCAAAAATAATCGATTAATCAAAAATAATCGATTAATAAAAAATAATCGCTTAATCAAAAATAATCAATTAAGGGAAAATAACCAATTAATTAAGAAGCCGATTCTACGATAAATCGATTTTCCAAAAAAATAACTGAATTATCGATTATTTTCAAATAATTCTGTTGTTTTCATATTTCATTTAAAATTATTTGATTATCTTTGAAAAATCGAAAATAATCGATTAATAAAAAGCTGATTGACCGATAAATCGATAATTCTAAAAAATAACCGGAATATCAATTATATAAAATAACCGATTATATTCGATTAATCGATTATTTTCATATAATCTATTTTTTCGCATTTCTTTTAAAACACATTATTCGAATACCTTTGAAAAATCGAAAATAATTGATTATTCAAACATAATCGATTAATCGAAAATGTTCGGTAAATCGAAAATAATCGATTAGTTTAAAAAGCGGATTAAACAATAAACCGATTTTTCTAAAAAAAAATCGATTATAATAAATCGAATATTTTGAATAAATCTACTCTCTTTTTGTAATTCCTTTATAATCGATT